ACAATGGTGATAAAGTGAGTAGTACTAATTTTTTGGTGTGTGTATGCTTTTGTTTGTTTGTGAAGTAAAGGCTAATCGCATTGACAAAAGGCATCATCACTTTTAATTGTCAACAAGTGGGTTGCAGGATTTTTTTTTTCTTTCTTTCTTTCTTTCTTTTTTTGACTGCATTAGATGGATATATTTTTATATACCTATTATTATATTGCCAGAAATCTACAGACCTGAAAGGAAAGGCCATCAATTACCAAATCCTTGATCTTCAAAAATTAAAGGTAATTGAGTGTCATTTCATTCTTGTAATATACATTAAACAAACTGATGTATGGAGTGGAAAAAAACAAAACATTATATGCATCTTAACCATCTTTATGTCCTTTAATTTACATTGATAATAAATTCATCTTGCATTTCACAGGAACCACTGAAGCTAGAGCTCACACTGAGATATCTTCCAGAAGGTTTAGTGAGTGTTCAAGAGTTTGATCTTGGCTGGCCATCTGTCTCCAAGCAAAATGAACACTGGAATTGCCTTGACTAGGCTTAATACCATATGCATATGGTATTAAGCCTACAATGGTTTATCTTTAAAAAAATACATATATATGTTTCTTTGATGTTATATATGTAAAATACAAAGAGATTAATAGATTAAGAACATGTCACTAGTCAGAATCCCACATTATGACCATTATTGATACAGAGGAGGAACTTGTAAAAGAAAAGTCTTGACCTCTAACATCTCTGTACTTGGTTAGAATGTAACGCATTATTTCAGTATAAATTCAGAGCATTAAAAAATCATGCTTGTTTCTTTACAAATAGGCCCTGTTTTAGGACCTTAGCTCTTCTTAAAGATCTAGAATAGTGAAAAGGTTAATAAGTATGGTTGTTTTTATCTTATCTTTATTATCTTTGACATCTAACACCTTCACCTCTCCCCAGATTCTACTTTTTCAACAGCTATCTCTATTCTTCCTTGAACATTTTTCTTATACCTTTCCCAATGACAGATACACTATAATTCACTCAATCGCCCTACCTCTGTAACCATCCCCTTTCTACTAATTTCTCCTCTAGTTTACTTGCTCCCCTTTTCACTGCCATAGTACCTATAACGCTCTCAGACCCTTGACATCTAACACATTTTATTGTAATCTTTAACTCTCCTTTGCCCTCTCTGACACAATACTTTACAATAGTGCGTTATGACCTTTGATGTCTAGCAAATTTATTTTCAAACATTAAACATTATCTTTATTATTTGTATGTTGCATATTGATATGCTGCATATGCTTGATTACAATATAATTGTTGTATTTTATCATTCCAAGTGTGGTTTTATACTGTTTGATATACTGTACAGTCTCACAACTTGTAATCTGAAAAAAATGCTTAAAGCATAAACATTAATGATCTCCTTGGCATATGAAGGTGCAGTAATACAAGAATTATATTCTGCACACATATTTAGTAGATTAAAATGTTCCCATAGAATTTGTAATTCTAGTCTGAGGCAGTTACAAAAACACTCAAATGATGAGTACATAAGCTGTGAGAATTAAAAGTTACAATTGAAGGGAATAAAGTGTATCAGTTTTGGGGATACATTTGTAAATATTTTATTGTAAGTAATTTTTGTGTGCAATTTTACTGAAATGGGGTTTTATTCATGTGCTAATTACAGTACAAAAGTATTAATAAATATTCATATTGTGTTGAAAACTTTATATTAAATGTTTGAGAGAAATATATTATTGTGATAATATCAATGTTGAAAATTTTACATTTAATGAATGAAAGAAATATATATTATTGTGTAAATTACTGTATAGGTAGATTGAAAATAAAATTACAATGAAGAAGATGCAGTACAAACACCTTGAGTTTATCTTTATCATAAACAATTTATTTGATTTATTGCTTTTGCATTTTGAGTGAGTTTGAGTGTGTGTGTGTGCAGAAAATTATCAGGATCAGGGCTTTCTGTATCATCATCATCACTGACAGAAAAGTGATTGTACTGCATATTACTGAGATATGCGAGATTATTAATTTCAACATTACTATGTTGAAATTGATGGTGCCCTTCATCTTCCGTCGATTCCGCATCACCGCTTCCCGCTCCGAGAAGAGGGTGAATTTTGCCACGATGTCTCCAGGTTGCTTGTCGCCCGGCTTTCCGACGCGGTGAACGCGCTCGAACGACGGGCTCAGGTTCAGATGGTCGCGAAAAATGCTGCACAGCTTCTCCTAAGATTTTTCCCAAGTCTCTCCGGGAGCTTCCGTCACCCCCGTGAAGCGAAGATTGCTGCGCTGAGATTGGTCGTCTAGATAGTCCGTGCGTTTGGACATCTGTAGATTTTCTTTGAGGTCCTGGTGTAAACGTTGCAATTGCTCCATCTGCCTGGTCTTCTTTTCTCCTTCACTGATGGCACTGGCAAGTTGGGATTTGAGGTCGGCTAATTCCTTTTGAGAAAATTAAAGGCTTGAAATGACATCATGGAATTTTTGTTCAGTTTCTTTGATATAACTTAGAAATGTGCAATTGCGTCATTATAGAATTTGCGCTTCAGCTTGAAATTGCACAAGTCCAAACACAACCTCTACTACCACTACACAGACAGCTGTAGGACGTCTTACTTATATGAGCCCCTTTCCGTGGCTGTCAAACGTCTAGAACTACGGGTTTTTGTAAGGAATGGCGGACCCAGAACACAAAACAATTACTCAACACACACTTCCAATCTGTTTTCACACATGAAGATGATAATACACCCATCATTCCAGACAGACCTTATCCCCCAATCCCTTCGCTTGGCATCACGACTAACGGCATACAGAAATTACTGTCCACCCTTGACACCAATAAAGCCACTGGACCAGACCAAATCCCTGCCTTGATCCTCACGTCCTGTGCCCCCGTCCTTACCCTCATCCTTCAATCTATCTTCTCCCAATCACTCGCCTCATATACCCTACCAACTGACTGGCTTTCTGCAAATATCACCCCTCTTTTCAAGACAGGCGACAGAACTGACCCGACAAATTATCGCCCCATCTCCCTGACATCGATCGTCTGCAATAATACATAAACACATAATGAATCACATTGATACCCACAACATCCTTACAGACTCACAACACGAGTTTTCGGCCCAGACGATCATGTGAGACCCAACTAATCACTACTCATCACGACATTATCCGACAACTAGATAAACGTATCACCAAACAAGTTACCATACTGCTTGACTTTGCCAAAGCCTTTGACAAAGTTCCCCACAAAAGACTGACTTAAATTACGACATTACGGGATCACAGGACCAATACTTCACTGGATCACTGCTTTCTTGACGTGTAGTACCCAACGTGTCTTACTCGACGGCGTATCTTCTGACTCTGTCCCTGTCTCTTCAGGTCTCCCGCCAGGCACCGTTCCTAGCCCCCTTCTTTTCCTTCTGTACATAAACGACCTTCCACTTTCGACTCCTAACTCTTCTGCTAGACTTTTTGCTGACGACAGCCTTTTGTTTCGGCCTATAAAAACTGAAGACGACTGTAGACTCCTCCAGCAAGACATTGACGCGCTAGAACAGTGGGAAAGATTATGGCAAATGTCCTTTAGACCCGATAAATGCAAAATTCTCCTCTTTACCAGATCCCACACACCAATTTACTACACTTACACCTTACATAACCAACACTTAACACCTACAGCATCTTATAAATACCTCGGCATCCACCTAACCTTCTACACACACATCGACTTCATTATCAATAAAGCAAACAGAACACTGGGGTTTCTGAGGAGGAACCTACACAACTGTACACCTGACATCAAACACATAGCTTACAACGCACTTGTACGCCCAACACTAGAGTACTCTACGGCTGTAAGGGACCCCTACACTAAGTACAACATTGAGAAACTCGAGCAGGGCAATACTAGGGCTGTCAGGTTTATTACACACAATTACTCACATACACCTGGTATTACATCTCACATAAAAAAAAACATTAATATGGACCTACTCGAGACACGAAGACAAGCACACAGACTTACAATCATGTACAAAATCACAACCTTGTAGACATCAACAAACACGAATACTTACAAGCAGCATACTCACGCAACACAAGGAACTCACACACCAATAAATTTGTCACATACCACTCCTACACTGATTCTTATAAGCACTTATTCTTCCCACGCACCATACGCGACTGGAACTGGTTCCTCCAACACATAATTGAAACTAGCTCAACACTTTCACAAACAAACTAAACAAACACTTAACACTACAAGCACCTTCTCAAACACTGACACTTCCACTTGCACCTTAATCCTTCCCCCTTCCCCCCGGCAACCAACCACCACCAATATGCGTGTTATGTGCTCATTAACACCCTGCGCATTACTATTGAGATTGAGATTGAGATAGACCAGCTGATCCTTCGCCCTGACCAGACCTCCCATCGCTTCCGTTCTCCTGTCCTCACCTGCCCCGTCTTCCCCGCGTTGCCTCTCTTTTCTCTCTCTTATGCTGCTTCCTCTCACATTCCCCTTCAGGCCCAGAGACGGAATCGAGGACGATTCCAAAGCTTGTCTCACTTACTTCAATAAATTTAGTTTGTGCATTTTTTTTACTACCATAGTATCAACACGGTAGTGTTTTTCCATTCACACACACACACACACACACACACACACACACACACACACACACACACACACACATATATATATATATATATATATATATATATATATATATATATATATATATATATATATATATATATATATATATAGTACCTTCCCCATTGCCTCTCTGCATCTAATCTTAACAGACTACACGAGCACCCAGATTGCACTCAGTATAAAGGTAAATATATTCTTATCAGGTTGCGCTGAGTTGTTGCTATATCATACACAAACGATGAATAATTTACCCACGCGAAATATTGACATCTAATCTCTAACTTTTTAACCTTTTAGTGATAACATGGCAGTAGTTTTATAAATGTCCGTTTTGAAACATAAGGCACTTTATAATGTTATTTATTGTGCTTTGGAATTTTCGGGGCTTATGTGCTTGCCAAAATTTAAACTATCAATTACACAGTTATCTCAATGAATTAAAACACCAATGAATAAAATGCATCTTAATTCATCAATATTTTCATCGCTATTTGGCAGAATACCAGTTTCTACGCTTAGTAACATAAATTTCTCAAACAAGATTCAAAAACACTAGGCTATTTTATATTATATTAATGCAGAGGTGCGTGGTGTACCTTTATAGTTGCCACATATCAAATGAAAAAATATACTCCAGTAAAAAAAAAAATAATAATAAAAAAATAAAAAAAATACACCAGTTAAAAACGGCAAAAAAATAATGAAAGCCTAACTAATATTCATTGAAAAGGCAAATATTTTTGTTTGGTTACACAAAATGAGACACTGGAGCATAAGTATAGACGTGTTGACCGAAAATAAAGATGAAATATACACAAACTGTATTCAGTCAGAAGAGAAAATTATTTCATGCTACAAAAGTCTGTAAATAATGGCTACGGATGACTAATGACAGGTGACAAACTGCAAAGTAAACAGATAATGTTATCTTACCCGATAATAGATTATCTCTTCACTTCCCCGTTTCCCCTCAAACGAATAGTCAAACCTCATGCAAATTCTCCTCTCAGAATACCTTGTACATGTACAGTAGAAGAGCTCTTAAAATTCCTTAGTATTTACCCCTTTGGCAAAATGTATTTTACCATGTAACCCTTTACTCTCATGTGCCAAATGAACCGTTAAATCTAAGACATGAAAATAAAGATGCTATTATGAAGACCTTCCTTAGATTAATTTTGATAATGTAAAATGTATGTACAGTCAGAAAAAAATATTACCATTCACACTAACTAATATGAAAAATCAACGAAGTGTTGTGGAATTGCGTGGTAAGGCAGTTAGCGCTAACACTGTTATGCATGTGCTGCCGTCATTAAAGATTAGTAAAACAAGTTTGATTATCTGCATACGAAAAAATAATGCAATCATACCGAGTGGCATCACATGCGCATTCAAAAAAGGAAAAAAAAAAGTCTACACATATGCACGCCTTATTTTGGATATGAACAACAATAAAGGGTATATGAGAGGGTTAAAGTATTCCTAGTTTCCATTTCTATGATTTCATGTTTAAGTCAAGGCGAATTCAGTTTTCATTCACATTGTTTATGTGGAGTAAACATTTAAACTTTTTTTGTGCATATTCTCAGCTCAAAATTCTGTTCATGCATATGGAAAATTCAAAATCTGGTAATTACATCCTGTCCTTTTCTAATTATCAGATGTCGCTGTATGACCAATGAGCGGTCACGTCTTCCAGTGTTATTTTCCATGTTTATTTTTACGCAACCTTTTCTTACGTATAATGAAGTTCAACTGTTTTCATGAATTTCTTTGATATCATATATATCAATTCTTTAATTACTGTTGATTAAAAGGAAATATGATTTTATAATTTCAATAATTTACATCCGTTGCCCCTGTTGCTACCCAGCCTTCAAAGTCGTGGCGCCATCCCACCATTACTTACTCCGTCGTTATGAAGAGCGACGATAGCTCATCGCAGGCTGTGAGACGTCTCCATAGTGCATATACCATTCCCAGTCCATATCAACTAGTGCTATGTGACCTTAGATCTCTAGCACGTTTATTGGTTTCAACCGTTAACTCTTTCATATTAACTGAGAAACAACCATGTGAAGCATTTGAAATTTCATCTGAAGCATTTGTATCCCAATCTGAAGCATTACAAACCATTCCCGATTTATGCAGGCCACAGACAGTAGAAGTCACGCAGTACTTTTTTTCGCTTTACATTATAACCTTATTTTGTTACTGATGAGTTAATCATTCGATTTATTAAACGAGTATTGATATGATGATATTATTTACAATCTAAGTCATGATGAAAGTGAATTAATGCAAAATACTGATTTCAATTTAATATTTTAATTAAAAGTATAAATACAGAGACAAAACAACGCATGGTCATGAAATGCACCTCTAAATATTTGGTTCATTTGTCTCGGTCCTCGAATATTGTAATAAGATCGCCATATGGCAACACCAGCCATGCGAGGGATTAACGATAGATGCTTTCATTTCCTCATTGACCACAAGGAAAGGTAAAGGTGCTTTTATCTGACTGGACAAGCAATGATGGTGCAAGGCTGATCGAAGAACGGAAAGTCTGACCTCTGTAGCCAACAATATGCTTCAGCCTCGTTTAGCTTTTCATTCTATCAATCCTTGACCTTTTTCATAAGCGTAGGAAAAGGTGGCAAAGGGGGGCGGCCACTCTAGAACGGACGGGGGCAGGGCCTAACCTCTGACCCCCATTCCTCAAAATTCGAGGACATTTCAAACAAACAGTGGAATTCCTTAGTTACTCAGTTGCTGACAACACCAATCCC